GAACTAGTCATGATCCTGAATTTTTCACACAGGTTAAAAAACGAACACCACCAAAGACTATATTTTCATGATAACCACAAATATTTCTATATGAGAATTTTCCTTATGTCAGATGCCACTGTACATACAGTGTTTGTTGACAAACCAGAAGATCTATGTAACACAAAAACAATGACTTAACAAGTTTGCTCATCAATACCTCATATGAATAAAATATAATTATATATGGACAGAACATTTGCATTACTTTTTGTTTTGGTGGAATGGATAATCACGGTCCTATAGAAATGATGATTGCCAACAGAACAAATGACTGTTAGGAATAATCTAGATCTTAATGCTTATTCTACATTACCATCAGTAAAAACAATCAAAAGGCAGTCATTTCAATATATTGCACTTTGAAAGAAGAAAACCAGATTGCTTAGGATCAGATCTTGCATTAAAAATAGAACACGATCAGTTTTCTGTCTCCCAAGGATACATTTCTAAAACTATAATACCCATCTCGCTGACCACAACATGAGACATAATCACCATGACTGTTTCTAACCTACCTGTATAATCTCATCAAGATTCCACTCTATCAAACTGCCACTTACAAAACGTGTTATAGTCAAAGTGAAACACTGCATAGAGGGAAAGCTCTTAAGCATGTGCTTAAAGTGAAAGCATGTGATTGCGTTCCTTTGCTTAAATGCTTTGGTAAATAAAGATGTACTCTATCAGTTTTTGTAATTGCTTTGCTGAATATGGGCCTCATATAGTGGAAGAAGTTGCAAATAAAACCCATCTCTGCTAGGAAAAACTATTGGTTGATGTTTTTTATAAAATACCCTGGTCCCAGAAGGGCCTCAGCCTCCAGCCAGCAGCATTGCTCTTCTCTAGAGTTGCCAGGTGTCTGGTATTGACCCGGACAGTTCGGTATTTTTGCCTTCTGTCCAGCAAAAAAATTCAGAAAATACCAGACACCTAAAATGTCCGGTATTTTCTGATTTTTGTCCCTGCCAGGAGTTGAAAATCCTGGGCTGTCCGGCTCAATACAGAGGCAGCCTGGCAACTGTAGTGCTTACTGGGGAGCTGTCCAGCGCAGCACACGGAGGTAAGATGGTGGGCGGCTGCTGGCAGCCTGTTAGGGCCAAAAAGCCTCACCACGTGTTTTTTAAAGGGGCTATGCTTTGCTTCCCCCCCCCCCTTAACAACTCTCGGGTCCTTTTTTTTTTTGTTTTTCCTGAAACCATCTGGCAACCCTACCTGTCTCAGAGGAGGGGGGCAAAGATGGCAGTTGTCCTGGGGCCCCGTGATTCTAAAGGGCTGGTGCCATAGGTGTGTGCAGCACATTTCATTAGGGAGTGCACCCAGGGAATCTTTTTTTTTTTTTTTTTAGGCAAACATTTATTGAATACTTCTGAAACCATCTGGCAACCCTACTCTTCTCTCACTAATTCACCCTGCAGCCGACTTGGGACACCTGGTTTATGACTCCCTCTGCAGCTCACCTACATGACCGAGTCACAGAGATGCCAGAGTGCAGTTACGTGCCACGTTAGGTGCGGGATCACTCAACAGAAACTCCAAGGTCCTGAGTTGGGCGTACCCTACGCAGGTTGGTTGGGTACTGCCCTGCCACTGGATAGCCACATTTAGGAAAAATCTCTTTAAACATGTCTGTGTTACTCATATTTTTAGAAAGAAAGGACCCAAATTATCCTGTTCCACATAAAATGGCCCCAGCTAGAGTCAAGGAAAAGATTCCAGGAGATTAAACTTATAACAACTCTGGCTCATTCTCATTCTCTTCTCCTATGGAAAGCCCGTTGCTTTCTGCTGCTTTCCCCCACACCCAGGGTGGTATGACTTACTCAGGAGCCGTGCGCTGCTAGCGGTCCACTGCTGTGCGCTACCGGTTCCGAGGGAGAGGAAGAAGCTCCAGATCATCACTTCTAGCTGTTATGATCCTCATTAAGCTAGGTGGGGAATTCTGCGTCAATATTGGCGGGCTCCTAAGGAAACATGCTGTGCCACGAAGCTGCAAGCTGGAGGGGAAGGGGGCAAAGCTCCGCCCCCCCCTCCTGTGAGTTTTAGGACCCCTCAGCCCCCATTTCCCTTCATCTGCTCCCCTCTATTTACTTGACAGCAGCGGGGAGCATTTGGCCCAAGATAATCAGTCTTACAACACTACACATTTCTAATCACTAATACCCATGTTAGCAAGAACTTACTGAAAACAGCAGCAGCTGTACAATACCAGATAATAAACAGACGCTCTCTCACGAGGTCCTTATGCAGAAAGAGGCGTACACATTAGCACTGTAAGTGGGTCCTATTATTGTTCCCCAACATGGGCAAGGAGGAGAGCGAGAGGGAATAGGAGGAGTGGAAAAAATAAGCAAGTTGAGAATAAAGCGAACAAGATTAACAGCAAAGCACATGGGGCGGGGGTAGCGGCTCTAGAATGTGTAACAAAGCACAAAAAGCAGAGAAATATATTGTCTATTAAGGACAATACTACACATGACCTAGAACACAATAACCCTCACAATAAATGCCCAACAAGATTCTATCCTACCAAGAGTCAGCACCTCCAGGTGATACAGCCACTAATCTAAGCCCGATAGATCTTATTAAATGACCCTCTAACGATACAGACCTGCCAAGCAAACAGTGCAGACCCAATTCATTCAGCTATTTCCCACAGGCAGGAAGTGTTCTTGACATGCACCCTCCATTTAGCAACCGAGCAAGGTACAAAGTCAATTGCACTTGTAAAACTTAAAAAGTGAGCTGCATATGGAAATCTAAAATCCTCCAGTGCCCACAAGACAGAGCACACAGGCACTGGTGTGGGAGAATGGCGGTTCAGGAGCATATTATGGAACAGAAAGTAAGTTAAAACAAGACAATAGTGAAACCCCTCCGCCGCTCACTCTCAATGCCCAGCGATGTATATGGAACGCATCAAGGATTCCTGGCCAAAGAGTTCTCAAAGCGGTGAGACATCAACCATTCTGATCTTGGAGGAAAAACAAACAAACAAACGAGACAGCTGCAAGAAGCTTCCACACATTATGTAGTTCCTTTTGAGAGAGCTGAACTCAAGCTCGGGGATTGCGATGCTGTCAAATCTCTAACAGCAAGTCATCCGCTGGCGACATCCCAGGCATAAGCATGGGAATGTATTGCAACTTCTTTAGGACACAGACTGTGTTTTCGCTCCGTGTAGGTCTAGCATCTAGCACAGTGGAGCTCTAATCTCTAATCCCGGCCTGTAAGGCCCTACCTAAATAGTAATAATTAATGGAGGTTCTGGGAAATCAGAGACACTCAAAGAACCAAACTAGTGCTAGTTGCATGACCTACCAATGCTGTGTTCATACATGCAAACATAGCTTAACCCTCCGCCCCAATAAAGCATTTTGATCCTGCAACATACACTTGCCAATACTGGGAAAATCATCTTTTCTTTACACATTCTGAAATTCTGGGTCGACTCCAGCCACAGAAATCTGTATCTTATTTAAAAAAAAAACAGATATTCAGCTGAGTCAGTATGTAGCTTTCTGACTAAAGTATTACAAAATGCACTGTAGATGACTGCAGTACAAAAGAAATGTTCAACAGTTAATAGAAGCAGCATGTATCAATACAGGAGCACTGGGTTAAAAATGGAGTGCCTCGGGCATCAAATTTTAGAGCTTAAATCAAGCTAACCGAGCACAATGTAAACAGTAGGTTGGAATGACGAGGACAGTGCATTTAGAAATGAGAAAACAGTCCTACCACCACAGGCCGATAGAACATAGTTGAAACTCTGCTAACTTTAAAAAAATGGCTATTGATACTTTTGTCAAAGCTCCCTAATAGTTACAAACCTGTAAAAATAGAAACCGGAAAACAAAAACAAAAACAAAATGTACAGGACACGATCTTGAAAGAGGCATCTGACTACTCCTGTGAGTCAAGGAACAGCACAACCCCCATATCAAAAGTGAATTCTATAGAGAGGGGAAAAATGTGCTCAAGACACCGAACATGTAAGTACCCATATTCCTTTTACATGTGTATATGAGATTCTGCAACTACTCACACCTCAGTACAGGTTGAATCTCTATAGTCTGGCACTCTGGGGACCTGACCGGTGCCGAACCAGAAGATTTGCTGCATCACGAGAGGTCAATATCATCTAGCAGCATTACCAACACTATCACTGCTTACTGGGCTCTTAGATGACCTTTAGAGGTAACTGACAGATAAATAACAGCACAGAACACTGAGAGCCAGGACTGGGGGCTGTAAACAAACTTCATGGGACCACAGGAAACTTGGCCACACTCATGATAAGTGGGCATCCGGCTAACTGAAATCATGCTGGATCCTGGATGTTGCTGGACTAGAGAGGTTCAACCTGTATTTGCAAAATTAAATTAAACATTGGTGCAGTAAGTGGGTCCTATTACAGAGTTAAAGAGAAAGTTTTTCTACTCAGGAATATCACAGCCTACTACTTACTCACTTCTAGAATTTCTCTCTCTCATATTTTGTTTTTCCCTTTGGCTGAATAAAAACAAACAATCAGACAATCATCCAAGTCATTCTTATTTACCTTTCAACTTTGACCCCTTTTTAAAAGGCCTCTTTTGCTTCTCTAAATTGTATTACGTGTGCTTGATATGAAGCAATGTGACCACATTAATTTCTGTGCTCTGTACCATCTGGCAAAGTAGAGGATCAATTAACATGACCAGGTTTAGGCTTTAGGGCCTAGATGGCCATAAGGACCAGCCTTTGAGACAGCCTCATTTCATAAAGATTCAACATTAAGAGTCAGAAAGCAGTATAAAATGGGACAAGGCCAGTTCATGTTCTGCAGCTCCAAGCAGTACAAGGCAACTCGTGCTCTGCGGATGTTGGGCATTGTGCTTCATTAGGAAACAAAATATAAGCTTTCCACTCCATTAGGAATGACTTTAGGAGTGAAAGCACATAAGACGACGACTCACCTCATCAACAATGCACTGCAATAACTGGAGAGGCTGCTATGGAAAGGAGAGAGGGAAAAAAAGTATTAGCCTATATGCAATATCTTTACAGTGGAGTGGAAAGAAAAAATCATTAATGCAATAAAATATAGCAAGATTAATCAACAGCAGCAAACTCTTATAAAAACATTGATGCTCAGGATGTTCTATTATTTCTAATGGTACCTAATCTAATACAGGCAGTTAAAGGTTTGCATTTTCTTCAAAATGCAATTTGCTAAGTTTAAAACAAAGCATTCAAGCATGCAAAGGAAGCAGCCATCAGGAAAAAGAAAAGTGAATTTTTTTCTGAACTCATAAAGCTTACCATTAAAGATCCCTGGTTTTTCTGAATCTGAAAAAAGGCAATATGTAATTAGCATGTCATAATCAAAATGACTCACTTGGACACATTATGATCACTGAGAGAAAATTATTGCATCGCTGGTGGCAATTTGTGGGCATGTGTTAACACAATTTACATAATGAAAATACACAAATGTTAATAGCTCGCTTCTCATTTATAGGCGAAAGTCAGCAGAATGTTAATTTCACACAACACTTTTTAGTACCCTCCAGGTTGTATTAGAGTAGGGAGAAAAACCATAATCCATTTCAAAAGGCTGTTTACGATTCAGATATAAATAATGTTTTATATTGCTAGATTGTGAACACTGGGCTTAATGTTGCAATCATTGCTAATGTTATGAAGCTTACTCTTTTTAAATTAAAAACCGATTTATTTAAAATTGAAATTAAATCATAGTCAGAAATTAGAATTTTGGATTACTGCCAGTGTCTGCTCACAATCCCCCCTTTTTTTTGTGAAGAAAACTTTAATTATGTGGTTGAAGTATCTGCCTCTATTCAGGAAAGGTTTTAATACACCACTTTTATCTAAGTTTTTTATGGGTTTTCAAAATAGCTCTTCTTTGACTATAAGTAGAACGATGCCAGGAGAGTTTGGAGAACTTTGTGTTGTTTTCAAACAACAAAAGGAAATACTCAAAACCAACATGTCCAATCTTCTCTAAATTTCAATTCAACATCTTGGTTAGCGGTTTATTTGCTACTTCTGAACAAAACAGTTCAGAAGTAAAAGTCTCAGAGGGGTACACATGTTAGTCTGTAACTTAAAAAAAAATTAAAAAACGAGTGGTCCTGTAGCACGTTATATGTGTATCTATAACTATATCTATATCACGCGCTTTCATTGGCACAACCTACTTCTTCAGAGAAATGGAGCAAAAGGCAAAGAAACCTAGTTTCAATTTCTTACAAAAATATATGAAAAAATCACAGGCCACATTATCAGACATCTTGTTATTACCCAAAATACTAAACATTAAAACTGATTTGCAATACGAACAGCTAAATACAAAATACCAGCAAGATATAGTTCAGGTTACTAACACAATCTGGGATGAAATCCTTAGGAACCAAAGTACTGCACTTGGTCTGCTAGTCCACAACATCTCCAGTGCGTGAATCGTTTAATTACTGTTTTTCACCAAGAGGGAAAAAATTATATGGATCCTTTTGTAATCACAAAGCAAATGGCATAGAGCTGTCTATTCATCTCATCCGAAGAAGTGGGTTTTGCCCACAAAAGCTTGTGATATAGATATAGATATCTATATCTATATAATTTTTGTTAGTCTCTAAGGTGCTACAGGACTACTCATTTTTACAAGGCACTATTTAGTGAAAACATTGTCTTGGCTCCAACACATTTCGCTGGGTTGCCCCTTCCATTTAATATTCTCAGTTGCATAGTGCCACAATGATAAATGCTGTAGCACAGCCATCAGCTTTGGAAGCTCTCTTCCCCCCAGTATCCAGCCAGAGGCATGATCCTCTAGTAATACTTTACAAGTAGTAAAATGCAATATATGAAAGAGAGTGAAAGGAGGTTGAAAACAAATACCGAGAATGGAGCAGGTATTACAGTATCCAGAGATACTTCTAATCTTTTAGGAATAAATGGAAAATATGAATAGGTAGCAGCATCTAACCATTAAATCTATTATTTAATAAGTAATTTGAATCAGCAAAATATTTAGTGAACATAAAAAATATCCTTTTGTATCTGGCTATTGAATATTAAAAGACAATTAGGCTGATTCAATTTATTAGATATAGGATACTTCCCATTTTCATTAAATGTTCTAGTGCAATGAATAAATGTTTACTTTCTCACTAAAACATGCAAAGTGGGAATCGCCTGTACACATGCACTGGAAAAATGCAAGTCTAATACCAAACAAAACAGGATAGTAATCAATGTTTTTTAAATTCAACATAGAAATGATCATATGTGATCTTAGAATGGGATTTAAAAACATTTCTAATAAAAAGCTTTTACGGCATCTATGAAAGCAACAGGGAAAGACAAATAGGAACATTACAGAATTCTTTTTAAGATGTTTTAACTGTATGCTATAGTAGCAGGGCCAGTTTCTAAGAGAGGGATACACACACATTGTTACCAGATTTTATTACACAGTTTTGATAGCAACATATTATTTGAGATCATCTTCATAAATTTTGCATTAAGGTAGCTGTGCCAGTACCTGGAATTGATTCAAAACACTTAAGACACTCAATTACTTTTTAACACCGTTACCCAACGTAATGACATATTTGCTATTTCACTTGCATTTGATGATGCAACATCATTGTAATTGATTCATTTTCTCAATTAAATAAAGCTATTGTGCTTTTCTCTGTGTGAATGCCACAGAGACTCCTGAGTTAGATGTATTACCTATTTTCCCTGCCTCAGATATATTGCTTGTAAGGTTGCACTGTGCTCCTCTGTTAACTCCACTAGAAAATGTAATGGTAGAGTCATATTTTTCAAGTTCTGAACAGCGTTGCACTTAGCTGTATTTATATTAGGCATATTTTTCACTGTTAAAACCATCTTGTTTACCTTTTCCAGGATCACATTATTGCATAGTCTCTGCAGCTATAAAACAACCCTAACCAAAGACAACTTTACAGGCAATGCTTCTCAGTTTGCACACAGTTCATGAAAAGTGAAGGATCCCATTGTATAGCACATTAAAAACAGTTTGAAAAGTACTCAACATAAAATGATTCTTCTTTCTGCTTTCCCGTTTTTGGCCTACAGTCTGTTTTCCATACACTGCTGGGGGACAAAAGTTTGGGGGACATAGTAATCCCGACACAAGCCGCAATTTCTGCATATGCAGCATGTTTATAATTATTTGAATGAAAACTTGAACAATTTGCTCATTAAGTGACCATTTTAAGGGTAAATTGATTATCCTGAGACCAAACAACAAGATTTAATTGCAGGAACTTTACATTTTCTTCATTAGTCTGTAGAACATTAGCAAGAACTTAGCTATTGATATGGAAACACATATTATAAGAATGGATGCTATTGATAGCTCTGATAAAGGCAGGCAGAGAAGTAAACGAGGTAAGCTGAAACAGTATTATGTTTAGATTCCTGAGTTATCTGATCATTTTCAGAAGTATCAGAGTTTAAACCTTTTGCCAGTAATATGCTTTCATGGTGAGCTGAGAAGAGGTATGTGTATTTAAATGTAGATGCATGATCTTTTCTCATGGGCATCACTATGAGACCCTGTAGGCCATAAGGTTTTGATAAACATTGCTTTATATCTGGAATTCTGTGATTTTGTAGATATGAACAGAACTTGGATATTTTTAAAATGATGTTTTCTTTATTATTCTTAAGCAGCATTTGATACGTGACAGTTAATAACAGAAGGAAAATGGAAAAATAGGACAATTTATTTAAAATAAAATGGGGGGGGGGGGAAAGAAACTCTCTGGTAGTTGGATAAACTACTTTATAAATGGCTTTCTCCAAATGTCATTTTTAGGCTGGTTACAAATGCAGAAGTTTTCCTCATGCCTCATCTACTATTTAATCAATGCCTCTGGTTACAAAAAGCAACTTTTGACAGACCATCAGGTTATATCTCTGTCGCCATGGAGATACCATTGACGGGAAGTGGCTGAGAGGACCTCTACCAGTCCCTTTCACATTATACTCCCAAGCACAATCAGAAGACTCAAATGAATCCGCCCTGTGTAACTTGGAAGTCACCGGCTCTACCGTTCATTTTCTCTTTTACTCTCTGGAATCAGTGCTTGCCCTGCAGCTCTTGTTTGAGAGATTTGTGGGTGACCTAGGTTAGATCTTCCCATATCAGTTAACAAATTTACTCTTCATGCAGATGCTGCTTTTTAAGCCAGTGGGTTTTTTAAATAGAAAAAGACATATACTAACAAATCATACAGTTACGGAAGTGTGACATTCATATTCATAATTGTGGCAGTTCTGGATTCTAACAGTGCACTTGGCTTATTTTTAAATTAAAGAAAATAGCAAGCATCCCCAAAGACTAAACTTTTTGGACCAAATGCAGCAACAAATATTATCTCCATATTGACAAATGACACACACTCCCCATACCTCAATATATAGGGGAAAAAGGAGTTTTCTTTAAGCACTCAATCTGTGCAAGGTTTCCTTGTTCTCTTCTTCATCAGTGTTGCAAATGATTCTGAACACCAATTCCGGGGGGCTGCAGGACTACTCAGAAAAATTCCTAGGTGGCAGTCAACAGGGCTTGGGCTCCTAAATTGGCAAGTCTGAAAATCACACCTCCTGTTCATTCTGCAACTGACAAACTCCAACCTCCAAGCCAGGGAATTGAGGACAGAAAACAGAGAGCTCTACTGAAAGAATTATGCTGAAAAACCTTCAAAACAAAGATTGCTCCCAATAACCTTTATTATTAAATATAGTTATATATTTCTTGTTTTCCCAGAACTGTATAAACATCTATAAATTATACACAGAGATTATTTCATTCACCACTGGACTGTAGCCACCTCACACAGGAATCTATTTACCACAGTACAACAACACAATCCAATAGTTTAGGATAGGATGCGGGGGTGGGGAGGGGAGGAAGGAAATATAGTTGCACTTGCAGAAGGAATTTAAGACTCAACAATGACTGCCCACACTGGAATACAACCACACACTGCAATGAACAACACTGCGTTTGTGAAAAGGAATTACGGGATTTTTAGTAGAATGGCGTGCACACTTTGTAGTTAGTTACGGCATCACATTGTACAGTGTACAGTATTGCATACATACGCACAGATTAAGCCTGCCATAGCACACATGTAGAGAGTATAATGCAAGGCAGACCAAACAGCAACATCCATGCTCCAGCATGATTTGAGTTAGCTGGCTGTCCGTTTATCATGGGTACCATATGGGCAAGTTTCCTGTGGCCCCATAAAGTTGGTTTACAGCCTCCAGTCCTGGCTCTGTGT